AACGACCCGCTATTATTTAAGGTATACCAATTAAGTTCGCGATGCAAAAAAAAGCATCACCTCAAATAAGTGAGTTTAAAACATTTCAAATATCTTAGTAAAATTCGCAACAAAAAATTAAAGCCGCGGCGATGTATGCTCAAAATACTTCAGCTGACATTTGTTCAATAGAAATCTAATTTTCAAAATTTGGAGACAACTTTCGGACAATTATAATTATCGGACAACTTTCAAATATCGGAGAAATTAACACAATGAGAAAAATGGATGCATAGTTAATTTTTTGTTCCGCTAGGAAATCCAATTTCGAAATATGAATACATTCAAGTTTTTATCGCACTATTTCCGCTTTCGTAATTGGAGAGCGTAATGTCAATTTGTAGCAAATTAAACTGAAAAAAAAAATCAAATCGTGAAAAAAAGGGAAAGTTAGACCGTGAAAACTAATATCAAACAGTGAAAAAAGTGCATATAAACAGTGCATATAAACCAAACAAAAAATTTAAAAATTTGGCCTAATATGAATTCAATTTGACGAAAATCTGTCGGGATATACTATTGCCAGCGTTAAATTAGCCGTAAGGCAAAGTTAACAGTTCAGTAACTACGAAAACCAAAATTGTGTAGAAGGCCGTAGAGCGGGTTAAAAAAGCTACACAAGTTATTGAATTAAACACAGACGAAGCGGAGATTCGCACCACTTGCGATACATCACTATCATTAAAAAAAAATGTTGAAAAAACTAGGCGAACCAAAATTTTCGTATGTCTCTATGACGGACACCTAGGGCCCAACTAAAGCTGAAGGTACCTGTTCGATATTTTTTGAATTTGTTATACTGATCCGGGACGAAATGCGTATTGTCAAAAATTGGACTTTGACCAAAACCTTAGTTGTTTCTCTACTAAAATAAGGGAGAATAATGAACATTTTTGAGAATTTGGAGTTTTCCATGAGGATAAACGGAATTAAAAAATAATGATCAGCCACTTCTGCAGGTAAAAATCGCGCAACCGCTTCTTTCGATTGAAATTTTCATCTCAGATTCGATCGGTTACTTTTAAAGAAAAAATTCAAAAAGTTTCTAACAAACGGCCAAACAAAGTTCAGAAACTTGACTTTCCGAAATACATGGCTTTTTTTCTGCTAAAAGCAGGTCGTAGCCGGTAAAGTAGAAAAGATTCTCAAAATTTCAAGTTTCTCGATTGAATACTTAATCTGAGAATCGGCACAATAAATTTCGATGAGTAAAAAAATTCCAAAAAACGGTTTCAAAAGTTTCACTTGTTTGAAGGCCATAATTTTTTTCCAAAACTAGCTGGGCGTAGAAAATTATTAAGGTAAGCTTCCAACAACCAGTTGTGTCGACTTAACTTATGATATCAGATTCGATAGAATACTAATCGAGAAAAGTCCAAAAAATGGTCAACATATCCAGAAAGTTGACATTTGCTAGAATCATACCTTTTTTTTAAAAAAATTGGTCGCGACCGCTTAGGAGGAAACAATTCAACCAACCTCTCATTTCGATTGAACCCAGAAACCTAAGTTGCGCAGAGTAGTTCTCGAGAGAAGTCGAAAGTTTGAAAACATGGTTTAAAAAAATTTAAATTCTGACTTTTCTGAGGGCCATACTTTTCTGTGTCGAAAAAAATTGGACATATTCGCGAATGCAAAGGAGCTTCTAACAACCTGCTCTTTGGATTGAACCCAAAATATCAGACATTACGAGTTTTCAAAAAAAGCGTGCCGAAGAGAAGAGAAGCAGATACACGCTAATCCGAAAACCAGACCTTTGTCTTCGCAAGCATACGCGTATCCTTTCGGCTACACGGGCTGAAACAATCTTTGAATTCGAACTTATTACAAAGCAAGTATCAAATGACTCATTGATACTGTTAATCAAGTAGTTAATCTGAAGATGTCTGTTCTGAGTTGCGAACGGTACCTTATCCAGAGCACAATATTGAAACTAATCAAAAGCTTTGAAGACAAATAATAACAGGTAATAACTCTTTTTTCGAGTTATGTTTTTTTAGATATGGGCAATAATTCACACATATGACATTAGGTGATAACAGTTTATTTTCAAAACAATCTAATTAAAACGCTAAGTTGTAACAAACAAGGTCCAACAAACTACGACGAAGAATAAGGCAAAAAAAATCGTTACGCGTTTTTTTTCCAGAGGCTCGGAGAATTTGATTTAAAGCTTTCAAAATAAATGATCGGAATTGAATCAATATTATATGATAAGGATGTAAAATAATTTGTTTAAAAATAGGTGAAGAAGCCGACAGATTTATAGCCAAAGCTCAATAAGCTCAAAACTAACCGAACATTTCAGGCAGCCCCAAAAGTTTCCGTTTGACGATCTTGTATGTACAGCCTATACAGCAAGCACCCAAGAGACCTATAAAGATGGTAAATGTAAGTGGTACATGAGAAAGAAATTTATCTAATTAGAAGCATTCTGTGAACAAAGTTATTTACAAAAAAGTATTACCCGATTATAATAACCTGGCTCTTTCCTGAGAAAACAAAAACCACGACCTATTTAACTAAGTCTTCACTAAGTTCACCGACACCCAAACATTCTTTTCAACAAGTTCAAACCTTTCGAACTTCAAAACCACAAGGAACACTGATCGCAGGCTTAACATCTATCTCTTTTGGAGCTCTTTATCTTCAAACCTCAATATTTCGAAGAAAAAAAATACAAAACTTGCACCCTTGGTTGGAAAAAAACGGAGGACTGACTGTATACCACTATGCTTGCATGTGAGATAAATATATTGCACTTCAGTTGCCTAAGGCGTTTCATTCCACGTGCATTTCTTTTTTTTACTTTGAAAACTTCGAAGACATTTTGTTCTATATATTTTATTTCAGCTACAAACCAACGAATTGAAAAACATAGCCAACAGTCAGTTAGAAAAGAGTAATGAACCTAAGGAAAAAAACTGATGTTTTCCAAAAAAAACTTTCAATTTTAATTAAAAAAATTAATTTTTTTGAAGTTCATTTAATTTATGGTTGGTTCTTTTTCGATAAAACTAACCCAAGATGAGAAAATTACATCAAATAGGTAAAAATTTTATTTCACTGGGAAATCTGATAGTTAAACTCCATTTTCGTGCATAGATACGATGGTTTTTCGTGACCGTTAAATTTTTGCTGTTCGATAGAGGAGTTTGCCTTCTTTTTAACTATGTAATTGAAAGGAAATTATACGTCAGTTAAAGTAACCAAACGTCAAAAGGCGAAAAAAAAACATGAGCTTCAACAACTTTCAAGACTTTTTCAGAAAAAAACGATGAAAAAAATCACCACGGCCTATATAAAAGTCGAAAAACATAACCACCACTATTAAAAGAGCTTTTAATATTTACATAGCGGCGATCAATCCGAAAAACAAAAAATTCCACAAGAAATTGTCATTTCTTTAAGTTTTTTGAACAAATAATTTAAAAACATAGATATCTTGTAAAGCAAACTACCTGAAATTTTCAAACAATTCCCGATGTGGCAACTCAGCCGACAAAACATAAGCAGACAACGCCGTCTAAAAATTCAATTTTTCCCGGAAAAATTATCAATTTCATACACACTGACAAAAAAAACAAGCGCCGGCCGGGACTCGAACCCCAGACCTTAGGGTCGAAGGCAAAAGCGTTACCTCCAGGCCAAGTAAGAAGAAGTCTCGAAGTAACCAAGGTTCACTACAAAGCAGCTTCAAAAACTGCTACAGGATTGTTGCAAAGTTGTTCACGGGAAACAAAAGTTCAGTTCCCGATTACAAGACATTTGCTCGGACAAGCGTAAAAAATCAAACAAAACACAAGTAACTTTATCACGTGCGAATTCTGCAATCAAGATCTGCACGGGAAAAAATCTAGTAGGCGGTTGCAGCACCCTCGCTTATCGCAAGAGTAAACAATTTTAATCAATTAATGTGCAAATGACATTTCAATAATATAGCCAATCGAATATTGGAAAAAAGTAATGAACGCAAGTAAACATAAACAAAACACTGACTTTCTTGAAAAATCTCAAATTTCGAATTTCAAAGAAAAAAAAGGTTGCTCATTAAGCTCTTTGAATTCCCAGATCAATTTAAGATTAACGCTTTTTTGATAACAGGAACCCAACTAGAGAAAACTGGATCAATAGGCAAAGTTTATAATCCGCTGGAGATCTAAAAATTAAATTCCATTTTCGAAACTAGAAATCGTTCACGTTTTTTTTGCGTCATTTCCACGTTCGTATTTGGAGAGCACTATTCACGTCACTTTCAGCTGATGAATTTCAATTAGTTCGACAAGTGCATATATACCTAAGTGCATATATACCTAAGTGCATTCAATATGTATGAATGCACATCTGTAGTTATTAAAGACTTTTCCTGAAAAAAAAAAAACAAAAAAACAGCAAGACCTGTATAAGAGTATTCACTACGTTCATTACTCTTAAAAAATGCAATTGAAACTATGGAAACAAATGGGCACGCTAAATAGTTTGAGGTTTTGCTTATAATTTGTATCCCATCCCAGTACAGGCGCGGATCTAGAATTTTCTCGAAAAGGTCCGATTTTTAATGGAGTACGATATTTTGTAGGCCTAACAGTCAGCCAAATTTATTTTCCGAGCTCAGCCCAAAACACTATGAAGACCTCATTTCGGATAAACCGTGGCAGGCCAAAAATTGAGAAAAAAACGGATCAAACTGACATTTTGGGCCCTTATTGAAAAAAAATGATTAAAAATGCGTTTTTCTTCGGCTCACTTTCCCATCAAAATAAAAGCATTTTGGCGTCTAGGACGCCTTAAGAAAAAAGTTTTCACTTAAGAAAAACTAGTACTTAAAGGTGACTCTTTGAGCAATAGTTGACCTCTAAACTTTTTATTTCAAATGATGAGTGGTCAAGGCCCTTATCGTTTCGTGACGCTCGTGCTAAATCATTGAAATTCAAATATTTAATTTCATTCAAAAAATTCGGACTCACAAACCAAATTCGATGTATTTACACTGATTACAAACTTGATCACAAAACTGTCTAGCAGCTTCACATTCACATGCCAAACGGATTATTACTACTAAATTTGTAACTATTTTCTTTAACTCGATTTTCTACAAAAACTGGTGGCAGTGGTGCTCCATTCGACGAGCACTGTTTTATAGAAGGACCAGCATTATTCGCGGAGAAATCAAGATCTCCAAAATTGTCCGAGAATCTTTCATTTTTCTGTTTGTCCCACGCAATAAATACTTCTGTAAGGTCATCTTCGAATGGTTCTTCGGGTTCCTCATTTGCAATGACAGTATGTTCAAAGGGATTTGAATCAGAAATAAGGTCAAATTCACGAAGGTGATTCCATTTTTCCGAGGAGTGAGAATTTCCAAATGGATTACCAGGAACTGGACTGTCGAAATCCATTAAATTAATAGATTCTTCTTGCTCGCTTATATCGTTTGGTTTTTCACTTTGTGAAACCGGTACACGAGTCTGAGGAGAGGAGAAACTTAAAGACATAGCAGGTCTAGTACGATTGCCAATGGATGACAAGTCAAGTTCCTCGCTTCGACGTTTGTTATTTACATCAGGATGAGGTAAAGTATGTGAGGATGATGATGCCATTATACTACCAGCCGGGGTGACCTAAACAAAACAGGTATTTGAAATGAGAATTCGCAAAGCAGGGAGAAAGAGGCAAAAACTAGAAAAAAAAAGAAAAGGTATAATTCAACCCATAATTTCAGATTTGGCAGGGTGTTCCAAAAAGTCTTCCAAAAAACGGTCAAACGTCTGACATTTCGGTGTAGCAGCTTATGCAGGGAAAATCCAACCAGAACTTGTTTTTCTGGTTGAATCCTTAATCTCACATAGTAGTTTTCGAGAACATGAGAAAAATCCAAAAAATGGGTTGAAAATTCCCGCATCGATTTCTATTGATAACACTTTTCCAAGGCGCCTCAATAAAAAGTAAAAAAAATCTACACGTTTTCATAAAACTGTTATTATCAAACAGGAACTAGCTAACAATAAACTAGAAAATGCTATGCAACAAAAGTAAACTAAATATAATGCTGTAAAAGTGCAATCTAATAAATGAGCATTTTTCCTGATGACTTAGGTTGAAAAAAAGTAGAGTCGGTATTATTTTTGAATGTACAACCATAGTTAAATTTGTCAACATTTTTTCGCCACTAAGTGATGAGTTTTAAGCATATTTGAAGACACCTATTGTAATTTCTCCTAATATTAAAAAAAAACATTGCTAACTGACAGAGTTGGAAAGAGTAATGAACGCAAAAAAAACTACTTCAACTTGAAGAAAAAAATACGCAAAATTCGGCTGGTAGTATAACTTTCGAACTTTGAAGAAAAAATATATGCAATTAAATCTCGCTGAATTTCGCGAACAATTTATGCTAAGAGCTTTTTTTGATAAATTCGCCCATTTTCGAAATAAGAAGTCCATCACGCTTTTCGTGAGCTTTACATTTCTGCTATTCGATAGTGGCGTTTGTCTTCTTTTTACACAGAGGCGAACCTGTGCTTTGCAAACTCTTGCGAGAACACGACCAAGAAGCAGCTCTATCAAGTGAAATAAGAAAAAGTAGAAATAAGCCCCGAATTAGCAAAAACTCGGGTACATGTAGGATTCAAATCTTCGACCTTGCTCTTTTGAGTTGCACGCACTAACCACTCAGCCACGGAGGCGCAAATTCCCTAAAAACTAGCCACTAATACCGAAGCTACATATTCTAATAAATTGCCAATTCGATGCTGCAAAAGGGACACCAAATACAAAAAGACACAAAGCATAAAGCCAAATTTTGTATAAAGTCTGCATCTAAAAAAATTGAGATATAATGAGTTGGAAAATTTTTAAAATCGAGCTTTTAATCATTGTACTTCTGTTTGAAACAAAAAACTTTTTTCAGTTCATTTGATGAATTAAAAATGCATCAACTGTAATAACTTTTTACTAATCAAATGTTTAAGCAAATTTGACATTAAATTGCTACAGCAGCCTACCGTTCGAAGAGCCAACAAAAGTGTAAACAAAGGAAACGAAATGAACTTTAAATTCAAACCCGAAAAAAAAATTGAAAAATTGAGCAAGAACAAATTTTAAGAATTTTTCCTAAAACAAACACAAAAAATCGCCAAGACCTATGATAGAGTACTAAAAACGAAACCTGCTGGGATTCAAACCTTGGATATTTTGTGCGTATCTCTCAAACTTCTTAGCGTAAAGACAGGAAAATATGATCTTACTCAGCAGTAATAGCATTGATCAATTCTTACATGATTTTCTGGAATTGCGCTGACATAAAACATGGATTTGCATTGTCCGATATCTGTGTTGCTTTCATTTGATCTAAATTGGATAAACATGAATAACTATCTTTGCTACAGCCACTTGGAATAAATTAAGAATAATTTACATATTTGAGCACCCTTACTTCATTGTTCTTTCGTTGACAGGTGCCGCGGGAAGTTTGAATTCGGCATCAGAGTGACGAAGGTGCCTAAACAAGATAACTCACCAGTTACAGGCATGAAAATTTATAAATTCCCGTGTACGATCGATTTTTGTTCCGACCATCCCCTTGAGACGTACGGTGTTTTATTTTTGCTGAGAGGATTATATGATATGAAGGCTGGGAGGATTAGAGAGTGACCTCAAAAATTAGTTCTACAACAAATTTAACGTCATTTTAGCTAGGAACAACCCTTCTTTGGTGCATTTTTTTTAAAAATCGGATTCGATGGCACTTGATAGAAAACAAAACATGAAATTTTCGACGAAAATGGATATTGATTTCAATTTTCAGCAATTTTTTATTTATGATTTTTTCTCGATCAGTCTGGTCCGAACATTCTGTGCTAGTCGAAGAGCAGCAGACTATCCTTGTTTTCCATATTACCTGGCTCTTTAACTAAAACAAATTTGCCATATACACCCACCCACAGATTGGATTTTTTTTTTCATTTGGGCGGAAAGCCAGACGATAAGAGGCTGTCAATCGACCATCTGTGTAAAAAAAAATAAAACAAGGACAGCCGGTAGGTGTTCATTAAGCACAGAAAGTTCCGACCATATTCTTGAACTACAAAAAAATTTAAATTAATTTCAGTTTTTTCGTGTGATGTGATGAAAGGATCTAAACAAAAGAATGGATTTTAGGCATTTCCATAATTTAAAAAACAGGCATACTGGAAAATTTTACAGAAGACTTTTGAGTTTTTGAAGTGCTTTGTTCCCAAAAGGGTGCTAAAAACTTTTGAAACTAATTTGACTAAACTTTTTAGGGCTTGAATAGAAAGATCATCGCTGATTTTGCTGGGTAATTGATTTTGCGAAGGAAAAAACTGAAAATGGTGAAAAACTTTGTATTCGGGTGCTTTTAATGATTGGAACAACAAGACTAGTCATTTGTGAAGAAAGACGGATCGAACGGTCCATATAGCAAAATTTTTCTCATTTCTAATTCTTCGGTCAATTTCCTGGAAACAAAAAGGTTATAGCCAAAATGCTTGAAAGCCGACAGCTAAACCAGAGTTGGATGACTCCAATCATACCCACTTCCTTCTGTAACTCAGTTTCAACACAGAGGCGTCTCTACGGTAACGCTGCCTAATTTGCGTCAGCGGTAGCCAAAAGTGTTTTTCTTAGCGCAATTTTCAGTGAGCGCGAAAATCAGTTGTCGCGTGTCACAGCCGCAAATCAAAACTTTAAAAAGAAATCGCCCATTTCTTTAGTCTTTATTTATTGTCTATTTCGTCAATTGAATTTTCTCTATGTAATTGTGGACTTATCGTGCATTCTAATAACAATTAAATGCCAACCATTCTGGGCCCAATGGCACATTCTGCGTTTTGAAGTAGAAAAATATATGGCCTTAAAGCTCTTTGAATTTCGAAACATTTTATGATAGAAACTTTTCTGATAAAACCAACTCAACTTGAGAGAATTTGATGAAACGTTTTTATCCCGCTGGGAAATCTACAAAAATCCGCTTTCAAAATAAGAATTCGATGACGTTTATCTAACCTTTCTTGTTTGCAATTATATGGTGAAGTTTGCCTTTTCCATAAAAGCCAAGCTGCATTTTGCAAACACAAGCAATCAAAACGCCAAATATTATTTTAAAATGGGTCAAAAAAGAAAAGACAGATGAAATTTGAAACCGAGAAGGGATCTTATACAGCACCAAAAAACACAACTTTTGCCGGTAACAATTTGGAATGTAGAAAAAAAGACAAGCACAATAACTTTGAATATAGCAAACTGAAAAAATATAATGCCAAATTAAATCTAAATTATGCATTTCAAACACTTCGTAAAAAAACTGGGTTGCAAATTTTCTCAACATGAAATTTTATGACTTTCTGTAGTTCGAAACAAATAGCTATAAAATAAATACCTTTGAATTAAAACTGAATCAACTGTGTTAACTTATTACTAAAGATAGCCAGCAGACAGTTTAAAAGTGTAGACCAAGGAAACCGAAAAAAACTTGTTTGAAATTTTTTGGGCATTTATCAACTTAGAAAAATAACACATTGAAGCTCTTTGAAATTCAAACATTGCTTGTGATTGACACTCGATTCGTTAAATTATCCCATTTAGAGAAAACTGGACCAATAGGTAGGTTTTCTATTCCACTAGGAATTCAGAAAAAAAAGCCCAATTTTTTTGGGGAATTCAGAAAAAAAGCCCAATTTTTTATCAATAAGTCATTCGATAAGCGAGTTTATACAGAGGCGAAGCTGTGCTTCGCAAGCACTAGCCATAACACGACAAAAAAAACAGCTTTATAACGTGAATAGACCTCTATACGTGAAAATCAATTCATCTTTTACAATTCATCAAGTATTAACTCATATGCAACTAAAAAGCCATTGCAGCCTTCTGCTGAAAAGTTTCATCTAAAGTAGCACTATTATTTGCGATTTAGGTTTAAAAAACGTAGCCTTGTAGAATCACAATACGCTCCGCTTGTTAAAAAAACATGATACAACAGGAAACCAACACAGACTTCCAGATTAACGATCACAAAATAATCTTTGAAAAAAAAGATTTGCCGACTAGAGAATTCGGTTCACGGAGCTCCATTATATGAGTCCCAAACAACCACCGTTGCACCATCAGACCGTGCTGCCTTCTATATTTAACACACTATCTAAGAGTTAACACCAAACAGCTAATAACGAGCTTGAATAAAGTCAAAAAATATGCTTCTAACGCAGAGGCGAACAACGACAAAAACGCAGCTCTATAAAGTGAAATAACAAAGAGTAGAAAAAAGCCTAAAATTAGTAAAAATTCGGCTACGTCTCGTATTCCAGCTGCAACCTGGAGAATATTAGTCTCGCGCACTAACCACTCTGCCACGAACGCTTAACGATCAACAAACACTGGCTAAAAATAAAGCAGAGAAAAGATGCGATGAAATTGCTAATACTGAGCGTAAGAAAAAAAATATGTAAAGCTCTCTGAAGTTTATTTAACTAATACGATTGCAATTTCTTGAACACAGCCAGCAGAGAGTTGGAAGAGTCAATGAACGCAAGAAAACAGAAAACTTCAATTTTCGAAATAAAAAAGATCGACTTAAAGCTCTTCGAAATTCAAGAACAATTTATGATCGTCACTTTTTCGATTATTGAACTAACCCAACTTGGGAAAATTGCATTATTAGGTAATTTTTAATACGCTGGTACATCCGGAAATTAAATTTCACTTTGGAAACTAGAAGTCTATCGAATTTTTTACAACACATTTCTGACTTGTCCTGAAAACAAAACAAAAAAAAAATCATCACAATCTGTAAAAGATTCTACTTTCATCAACTCCTAATAAATGCAACCCAATTTGTGAAAAATGAATCAATACGTAAAATATTTATTCCACTAGGAAGTCTGAAAACAAAATAACTGCACGATTTATCACGCAATTTAATTTATTCGAATGCAAAACTTATCTCCCTCCTTCTTTATAGCAAAAGAATTAGAATTCAATTTGAGAAATTGAATTAAAAAATCAAGTCAAACCGGAAAAAAAATCAAACTTAAACGTACCTTACTTTGAAGACTTTTTCCTGAAAAACCAAAACGATAGCATGATCTATGCAAACATCTTCGCTACATTCACGAACACTTGAACATAACTGGCTAAAGCTTTAAAGAAATTTGGGGCAGCCAAAATTGAATATCCGAATAATGCTCTTTTCCGGTTTCCATCTCTTCTTAAAATTTAAATAAAAAGCAATTATGGGGCAATTTTTATTTGAGAAATCTATTAACAAACCTTATTAAGTGACGCACGCCATTTATGAGTCTACATAATAGCTAAGTGACGCAAGACATTTATGACGCATTGCATTAGCATGTCCAGTCAGTTTGAAAAAAAAAGAAATTTACCAAGTAAAATGCCTTTATTTATAGAGCGGACGCATTTTATCTAGCATACGAAACAGTTCATTCAAAACATTGGCCCAGGTTCGAACCCTCTTATTTTGTTCCGTGTCTCCTTCCCTACCTCTGCGCTACAGATCCATGATACCTTGAAGCTAAAGTGCTATTTGTAATATAATAGTCAGTGTTAATATCCTTAGCATTGGCTGTACTTAATAGCTGGTTATTGATGAAATGAACACTTTCAAAATGAACACATTTTTTCGCAACAATATTTGCGACTTAGTTTGGATAAAAAGAGAGTTCATACTATAACACAAGCTTTGCTTGTGTAAAGAGTCTGAAATACCTTCAGCGTATCTTAATAAAGGGGGCTGAAAAAACTCATGGAACAGACCACAATCATAAGGGTAGGAAAAACAACCAAACATTGAGTTCCTCTAATCTACGTGTAGGAACTACAAATACACTCAATTGCACTTAGCACCAAATATATCTATCAACTCACGATATCAAAGTTGGCGGAGAAACATAGAATATGGAAGCTCCTTTCGCTCCTTCTGAGAGCTTGTTCTTCACAGACTTCCTCACCATATTGGATCGACTTTTCACTTCATTTTGAAATCTGCTTGTTTGATCAGTTAGCTGAAATAGACAAAACGAACTGAATGCTCGTCAGTTTTTAAATATAAATCATTTTTCACCTTTCGCGATCTTAAAATTAGTCTGCTCTGAGTAGTTCGGCGAACAAAAAACATAGCCAATAGACGGTTGGAAAAGAGTCAATAAATGCAAGTTAGAAAGAAAAATTACTTATTTTTTGAAAAAGTCTCGATTTTCTTCCGAATTTCAAAGAAACATAGCCAATCGAAGATTGGAAGAGTAATGAACGCAATTAAACATGGAAAATACTGACTTTCTTGAAAAAAATCTCAAATTTCGAATTTCAAAGAAAAAAAAGATGCCCTTTAAGCTATTTGAAATTATGATTGGCTCTTCTTTGATAACATTAACCCAACTTGAGAAAACTCTCGCAAGTGTAACTATGAAAACTATGCTGAGACACGACATTCTGACAAAAGAGTTTCCCAATATACAGAATTTATTATTTAGAAAACAAACGGTTCTACTGGTTCTCATGCCACAAAGCGATATCGACCTCATCTACAATGTTAACAGTGCGCAAACAGGCTGGGCACAATCCAATGATCAAACTGGCATTTACCACAAAAAGTCAATCTGTATAATAGTTCTTTATCTTAAACATAAATTCTGAAGTTTTCAATCAGAAAACAGCCAATTGAAGATTGGAAAAGAGTAATGAACGCAAGTAAACATTAAAAAACACTGACTTTCCTGAAAAAATCTCAACTTCCGAATTTCAAAGAAAAAATTAGATACCCTTTAACCTCCTTGAAGTTCTAGAACAATTCATGATTGGCATTTTTTTGATAATATGAACCCATCTAGAGAAAACTGGATCAATAGGTAAACTTTTTATTCCGCTGAAAATCTAAAAAAAAATTCCATTATTGATACTAGAAATCGTTCACGTTTTTTCGCGCCATTTCCACGTTCGTATTTGGAGAAGGCTATTTACGTCATTTTCAGCAGATGAATTTCAATTGAACTCAAAAAGTGCATTTATACCTAAAGGCATTCAGAAATGCATCAATATGTATGAATGCACATCTGTAACTATGAGAGACTTTTCCTGAAAAAAAAACAAAACACACAAAAAAATCGGCAAGACCTATATAAGAGTCTTCACTACGCTCATTACTCTTGAAAACAGGATGGCCCTAAAGCTCATTGAATTTCCAGAACAAGTTATAGAAGTTTTAGATAAAATTATTCCAATATAAAAAAACTGAGCCTAAATTAAACGTTTAAAAAATCTCGCGACTTTTATAAGAGTCTGAACTACGTTTATCAACACTTAATAACGACTGTTATAATAGCCAAGTTTCTAGAACAATTTATGATTGTCGTTTTTTTTGAAAATTAACCCATTTTGAGAAAACTGGATCAATAAGTAAAATATTTAATTTGCTGACAAATCTGAAAAGTGAAAACCATTTTCGAAACTAGAACTGGATCACGTTTTTCGTGACCTTTACTTTTTGCTGTTCGATGGTGGAGTTTGCCTTCCTTTTAACATAGTAAATGAACTGGATTCAAAGAGAAATCAAAAGTCAAACCTGTAAAAAACAAAATTGAGCATGAAATTTTCTTGGAACAAAATGTTTTAAAAAAATCACCAAACCCTATATAATAGTATTACCTACGTTCCTTACCCCTAAACACATAGCCAACAGTCAGTTGGATAAGTCTCAATGAACACAAGGGAACCAAAAAAAGAGACCTAAATTTTCTTCAAAAATTAACTTTCGAAACTCAAAGATAAAATATATAGCCGTAAAGCTTTTAAATTTAACTTCCAGAGCCTTTCTGGTGAACATTCATATTCAGAAAAAAGCATAGTTTGAGAAAACTGGATCAATAGGAGTTTGTGTTATTCCGCTGGGAAATCTGGAAAACAAAATCCACTTCGAAAATAAAAGTGGTCCACACTTTCTTACGTTTCCGCGCAATTTGCCTTTCTTTCGCCAAATCATATTGAACTCAACTTGAAAAAGTCAAAAGCCAAGCCACAAAAGATCAAAATTAGCGTGAACAATTTTCTTAAATATTTTCTTGAAACAAAAACAAACAAAAAATCACTACAATCTATATAAGTGTCTTCACTATGGTCAGTGACACTTAAAAAATGGGTTTAGAGAATGTAAACGCATTGTTAAGTGAGTTATTTAAAGTAAGAAAATCAAAATAAAACATTGCGAAAAAAGTCAACGTTTGGGTAATAATTTAATACTTCTTTATGGATAAAAAGTTGCAGTTAAGTATAAAAGTTATTTTTGTGTTGTCATTTTAAAATTATTTTCTTCTCCAGGTCACAGACCTTTGAGTATGCAGTGTCGACTTTGAAGTGGAAGTTGTCTCCTAGTTTAGCCGCAGGGTTTCGCTTTTCTGACTCAGTTCTCAGCACCCAGTTATAAACTAGATCGAACTGCTTGTAATGCTCGTTTTCACTCTTCTGTCTGCCTGATGAAGATCGGAGAATTCTTCTGTTGGCGTCGATGAACTGAAATTGAGGACAATTTAAAATTTAAAAAATAACACAGGCATAGCTGCGCTTCCCAAACACTAGCGAGAACACGACAAGGCAGCTCTATAAAGTGCAAAAAAAATAGTATAAACAAGCCTCGAATTAGTAAAAATTCGGCTTCGATCTGTCTCGGTCTCGATCTGCAACCTAGAGATCACGCACTAACCACTCACCCACGGACTCTTAATAAATCACAAACACAAGCCACAAATAAAGCAGAGAACAGATGCTATAAAGTTTCCAATGCTACAGATCGTGATTATAGCAAAAAAGCCACCAAATAAGTGAACACTTTCAATGAAGGCTTTTATTTGCGAGTTAGGTTAGGAACAAAGAAGGTTCGTACTAATACACTATGAAGGGACAGTCAAACTAACATAGTTCACCGAAAAATGATTTTTTTTACAGGGCGGAGATTCGTTAGTTAGGAGGATTGAAGGATATCCCCAGAAAAAAATTAGCACAAAACTGACAGGATCGGATGCCGATTTCATATTATACAGAGGCGAAGCAGAGCTTCGCAACACCTGCAATACAGGTCAAATTTTTTCTAAAAAAATCTATAAGCAAAAATATCGATTGATGTTAAATTTTAGGATAACAAGTCGAAAAACATATTGCTCATCAATAAATGAGCACTCAAACAAAATTTTAAAAATTTCATAAGTCAAACCGCAAAAATTTCTCTTCAATTTGGGAGAGAAAAACCAAACAAAAATTGAAACAAAAAAACATCAAGCACTAAATATGTGTCTTCATATCGTTCAGCGACACATCAAATTGCATTTTTATCTCTCTCAAAAAGTTGCGTAATTTAGACTTTCAAATTGCATTCTTACCTGTTCAAAGTATTGGCATTCAGTTAGCAGCTTTCTATAGTCTGAAGGAGCTCCAACTTGTTTCAGAACACTACTAGACTGATTCGAAGAAGAAACACAAGATGAGGCTATGAATTTATCACGATCAAATTTCACTCCATCTTCAAAATCAAGCTCATTTCCTTTCTTCTCACTGTCTGTTGAATCACCGTTATCACTTATCTAAAATTGTTTTACGCTGTTAATAACTGGGTGGGTAATAAGTTAGTAATCTGGTTTTCAGGGCAGTTCAACCTACATTATAGCAATCTTTGTAACCCAGAATTAGATGTGCGATGAATCTCTGCGCGTTTGAGAAAGCGCAGTGAGCAAATTCGTCAATTGTGATTTCGCACTGCGTTAGTTTCTTCAAAAGAGACTTCCAACCACTTTTCAGAGCGTATAACTAAAACACATTACTTGAACCTACTTAAAATGCTTATATCAACTGTTATACTAACAAAAAGATCAAATAATCGCTAAGTGAAAGTCGCAGATACCGTAATTGGATCCATGAAATTATTTTCAGCATGCACTTTGAGTTAAAGCCAAAAGAAAGTAGCCTATTCATTCCTGCTGTATCTCCAAACCCCGCACCATTTTCGACACAGTGACAAAACTGCACTTCGCAAACAAATGAAAAAACTGCACTTCGCAAACAAATGACAAAACGGCAAAAAGTAGCAATAAAAGAGTGAAAAACAGAAAAGGAAGAAAAGGTAAAATTATATAAATTCTGATATGAACTGGCATCGAACCCGCGAGTTTGAGATTCAGAGTCTCACGTCCTAGCATCTTTCCCATGGCTGCTTGAAAGGCAGTAAACACTAGCACTAATAAAACAGATACTGGGCTATAATGATTATGCAAAAAAAGTAAACCATATATAATGCTATGGCTGCGAAATGGTCATTAATTAAATGAGCAATTTCATCTGAAATTTGGGCTGGAAAAAAGACTTCGTAATATGACACTACGCTCCGTTGTGCAAAAAGCAACGGTCGTATCTTAAAGGGATAAGATTCAAAAAAGTTTCGGATGACTAACATCATGAAAAACAGCTGAGGGCATAAAAAAGTTACTCACCAGGAGTTGGAGACAGATCTTACAACAACGAGACGGGAGTGCAAAAACAAGCGTGGAAAACTATCAAATCTTAGCTCAATAAAAATAAGCACATTTTTAAATTTAAATTAACAAGAAACTTGAAAAGAAAAAAAACTGCCAACTGAGTGTGTAAAAGAACAAGAACACCGAAAAAAATGATTGAATATTTTCAACTTTCGAGTTTCAAAGAAAAAATGAATCAGGTTAAGCAATTACTTCTTGAATTGACCCAATTCCAGAAAAATAGAATTCGTTTAGATTTTTCCTGAGCTTTAAGCTTTTGCTGTTCGATGAGTTTGCCTTCGAAAGAAAAGAACTGAGCATAAAAATCAGAAGTCAAACTGCGAAAAATCAAATTTATGCCGAAATCTTGATGAATTAGCTACAGGTCCACTTGAAATACTTTATAAGGTTTTGAAAACGTGCTCAGCTGGATCTACTTAACAATCCCCCCTCCCCCCTATTAAGAAAGGGGGAAATTGTTAAGTATATTACTTGCAGCGAATTTTCGGCAGCGAATTTTCGACCAATCAGAATGCAGCAAAACTCGAATTTACATACAACGCTCTAGTTCGAATTTACTGTTTTTATTTACAGGGGTGGATATTCTTTAGTAGATACAATAAGGGGGGAGAGATTGTTAAGTAGATCTGTTCAGCATGCAGCACTGTTTATCTATTAAGCCGACAGCCTAAAGCAGACAAAAACTAAAAGCCAATACTGTCATCCGGTCTGGATCGACAAACTTACCTTATATGTATGTTATTTATATTACTAATAATCTTAGGCTAAACGCCTAGACGGCTGGTCACTTGACCTTGATAGACAGAGAGGACGAACTCTAATTGAAATAAGAAACAGAGTTGAATTAATGTTATCTGTCAACTACTCGTTTTATATCGCTCCGACTTAAAAATAACGTTTATCGATCCATTCGGATTCAAGGATTAGAATATCATAACCTCCGGTATTACATGGCGCAGCCAGCAGGATATTCCAAAAACCCACTGAATATTCCCCCATTTTGGGAGAGAGCGTCGGGCGAACCACCACTAGAATGGACAAAGTGGGCAGCTATATTGGAGATGGCTGTATTCGCAAAGGATGGGATCGAAATACGGAACTTATTGAGAGCCAAACCAACACTCGTCGAACCCGCTGAGCCTATGTATGAACTTGAAATACAGGGCGAAACAGACGCACAAAGAAAAATCGGGAGGTGCGCAATCAAGAGAAACGAGTTGGTTGGGAGAATCACGTCATAAAAGCCCGGGAGAAAGGAGTACTATGCAACTCATACAGATGGGACGAAGCAGACGCAAGAGTCCGGAGTTACCTCTTTCTCTGTCTGGGAGCCGAGGGTCAAAGACAAAATCAACAGAAAAGACCTAACCTTGTATTACACAATGTAACTACACAAGAATTCATGACAACACTGGAAGATATCTTTGTTGCTAACAGAATTGTAGCGTTCGACAGATATAATTTTAGTTGCCGTAAACAAAAGAAGTCGGAAAGCCTGGAACAATTTCAGGCAGATCTCGTCGAATTAGCCTCACGGGCTGATTGTGGAGACAGAGAAGATGAATGGGTTAGAGACATGTTTACAGCACACGTGCACAACGAAAAAATCGCGGAAGAACTGTTAGCACAAACACAGACTCCAGTAATTCGTCGAGTATGCAATTCGTCGAGAAAAAGGAATTGAACATAGTCGTACTATGAAGATAAACCCATTCGGGGGACAAACTACACCAAAACAAGAACCAATACATTATATTACTCGGGGTGGTCGATATAACTCTGCGAATAACCAAAACTCACAAAGAGGTCGAGGCGGTTTCCGCGGTCGACCATATCCGCGCGGAGCACAAAACACAAGAGGGCAACAAAGAAATAACAATACAAACAGCTCAAAACAATGTTATAAATGCGGAAACCAATACAATCAGACACCTGCAATCTTGCCCGGCGAAAGATAAAATTTGTTCAAAATGTGCCAAACGAGGTCATTTTGCAAAAGTTTGCAGATCTACAAACGTTAATTATTTAGGAACCCGGCAGGACGAACAACAGGAAGAAATAGAAACAGTAAGCCTTGAAACCGATCCGGTGGCTTTTGCCGAGTTTACATCAAATAACGGATGGGATGAATATCAAATAGACAAATTCTCGGTTATGGCAATTGTTAAGTATATTACTTGCAGCGAATTTTCGGCAGCGAATTTTCGACCAATCAGAATGCAGCAAAACTCGAATTTACATACAACGCTCTAGTTCGAATTTACTGTTTTTATTTACAGGGGTGGATATTCTTTAGTAGATACAATAAGGGGGGAGAGATTGTTAAGTAGATCTGTTCAGCATGCAGCACTGTTTATCTATTAAGCCGACAGCCTAAAGCAGACAAAAACTAAAAGCCAATACTGTCATCCGGTCTGGATCGACAAACTTACCTTATATGTATGTTATTTATATTACTAATAATCTTAGGCTAAACGCCTAGACGGCTGGTCACTTGACCTTGATAGACAGAGAGGACGAACTCTAATTGAAATAAGAAACAGAGTTGAATTAATGTTATCTGTCAACTACTCGTTTTATATCGCTCCGACTTAAAAATAACGTTTATCGATCCATTCGGATTCAAGGATTAGAATATCATAACCTCCGGTATTACATGGCGCAGCCAGCAGGATATTCCAAAAACCCACTGAATATTCCCCCATTTTGGGAGAGAGCGTCGGGCGAACCACCACTAGAATGGACAAAGTGGGCAGCTATATTGGAGATGGCTGTATTCGCAAAGGATGGGATCGAAATACGGAACTTATTGAGAGCCAAACCAACACTCGTCGAACCCGCTGAGCCTATGTATGAACTTGAAATACAGGGCGAAACAGACGCACAAAGAAAAATCGGGAGGTGCGCAATCAAGAGAAACGAGTTGGTTGGGAGAATCACGTCATAAAAGCCCGGGAGAAAGGAGTACTATGCAACTCATACAGATGGGACGAAGCAGACGCAAGAGTCCGGAGTTACCTCTTTCTCTGTGTGGGAGCCGAGGGTCAAAGACAAAATCAACAGAAAAGACCTAACCTTGTATTACACAATGTAACTACACAAGAATTCATGACAACACTGGAAGATATCTTTGTTGCTAACAGAATTGTAGCGTTCGACAGATATAATTTTAGTTGCCGTAAACAAAAGAAGTCGGAAAGCCTGGAACAATTTCAGGCAGATCTCGTCGAATTAGCCTCACGGGCTGATTGTGGAGACAGAGAAGATGAATGGGTTAGAGACATGTTTACAGCACACGTGCACAACGAAAAAATCGCGGAAGAACTGTTAGCACAAACACAGACTCCAGTAATTCGTCGAGTATGCAATTCGTCGAGAAAAAGGAATTGAACATAGTCGTACTATGAAGATAAACCCATTCGGGGGACAAACTACACCAAAACAAGAACCAATACATTATATTACTCGGGGTGGTCGATATAACTCTGCGAATAACCAAAACTCACAAAGAGGTCGAGGCGGTTTCCGCGGTCGACCATATCCGCGCGGAGCACAAAACACAAGAGGGCAACAAAGAAATAACAATACAAACAGCTCAAAACAATGTTATAAATGCGGAAACCAATACAATCAGACACCTGCAATCTTGCCCGGCGAAAGATAAAATTTGTTCAAAATGTGCCAAACGAGGTCATTTTGCAAAAGTTTGCAGATCTACAAACGTTAATTATTTAGGAACCCGGCAGGACGAACAACAGGAAGAAATAGAAACAGTAAGCCTTGAAACCGATCCGGTGGCTTTTGCCGAGTTTACATCAAATAACGGATGGGATGAATATCAAATAGACAAATTCTCGGTTATGGCAATCGCTGAATCTTTTGAGATCAAAAATACAAATCTCCTGTCGGAAGATGATCTGAATGGCCATATTGTGAAACTAAAAACAAATTCAGAAGAAGTATTCGCTATCGCTGACTCAGGAAGTCCAATGTCGTTTTTGAATGAAAAAACCGCACGGCGCCTTCAACAAAACGATAGATCAGCATTATTCAAGTGTATTCCACCGGACGACACAGCAAAAAACCTGGCTTGTTATAATGGTGAAACAATAAACCCGAAAGGACGATTGATTATAACATTCGAATCAGGAGGCTGGAATATTCAATCAGCTCCGTTCATCATTGTAGATGATCAAAAAGCCAATATCATTGGACGCATCATACTACCACAAATCAGTGTCAAGTTAATACAAGAAAACACAAACAAATTGTATT